AGTGAAAGTGAAGGTAAGTGAACACCATGCATGTACAAGCACATTCACAGATACCTAGTATCATTTCTTGAATCATTGCTATGTTGTACATCCAAAATCTGTGCCCTGTAAGAGTAAGGTAACGATGTACTTTACATCCTATGAAGCGATAAGGATTAGGCGTGAAGTTATGTTCAACAAAACATAATCAACAGCAAGTTAACACAATTTAAAGTAGCAAACAGACAACACACCTCTCTTCGCTGACTTCGCTGTCACCTTGGTCGATCTCAGAATCCTCTCCCTCCTCATCTTCCACGTGATGATGTTGGGTGCTGTTCAGATGCTCCTCGTAATCATAGTCGATTCTCTGTTCACCAATGTAAGAACCTGTGAAGTATTTTCGCTTATACAAAGGAAGACTATATAAGAAAAACTAAAAGCACTCAATATTAGTACAATAAGGAAAGTAGCGGCTCTATTCACCTCTGATAGTCAACGATTTGAAGATTTTTGAAAAACTGATTGCAAAAGTAGTGACTAATTCTCACTACATACTTCTCCTGAAAATCAATGTTCATGGTTCATTAGGAACACTGTAAGGCTCTCAACGCTTGACCCTGATCTTTTGAAATGGAGTTATGCTATATTTCTCATATCTTTGAGAATTGCCTCAATAACTTTTGACTGTAGTCTTCATTTCAGATAAAATTACATTCATTTCTGCGGCACGGCGGCGACGCAAGTGTTCTCATGCAAAACGACCCATAGGCATCGGCTGCCGCGTCGCCGAAGTGCCCACCTTTGCGAGTGTTATTCAATTTGAAGAATTAGCCATATTAGGAAGAAAAAAAAGAACAGAAAGTTTTTTTTAGGTTTTCGATAGTAGTCACCTCGTACGAGCAAGTCAGCAGCATTCTGCGGATCGACAACTGCAACCACAGCCTGCTGCAATACAGGAGGAGCCAAAACCGCCTCGAATGCAACAACAAACAGCAGAATCAGCCTTAGTTCACCAGCGACGTACCCCATAACTGTCGCCCATTAACTGAAAAATAGTCAAATAGTCCACTTTTCCTGTTAGGGAAAAACAGCAGGAGACAAGGGATGAAGTGCAATGCAGATG